TTTAAATTATTTGAATTATTTGAACTATTTAAATAATTCAAATAATTCAAATATTTTAAATGGAGGCCTGGATTTGAATTATTTGAATTGTTTGAATTATTTAGATTCAGAAAATAACTTACATAATTCAAATGGAGGCCTGGATTTGAATTATTTGAATTATTTAAATTATTTGAAGTATTTAAATGATTTAAATGGAGGCTAGGATTTGAATTATTTGAATTATTTACATTATGTATATAATCTATATACATATACAGAAAACCAAAGCGGCAAATAGACCCTAAAGGTATCTCTCTCATATATATATATATAGGTAGAAGAGATGGGGCTAGGTGTAGATGGCTGTCCTGTTATTCTGTTCAGGCTTTCTTGCCTCGGCTAGTGACCTGATCCATCCTAAACCCTGAAAAAAGGTGTTTGGGGTTGCTTTTCGAGCTTCGCCCAAGCCGAGATTTGTTTAGCCTAACTCGGAACCTAGATCTTCCATCTGCCCCCTAGATGCCCTCAATAAGGACCATGTACCCCCCATTTGAAGGGTACAAGGAGGGTGCTGGAGGTTGCGTTTGGGCATGAAGCCACCACGGCCTCTCCCAACACCCTTTACCCTTCCCCAAACTGACATAGAGCGCAGACCACAAAGACAATCGTCCTTCGACAAGGCGGCTATATGGGGTTAGGGGGGTACCCTACGCTGCGAAACTGTTCAGTCCTGCGACCCGGCATTCTATCAAAACCTGCTGGCGCTCATCAATGTGAAATTTGCTGTTTTTTTTGTTTATTATGCTGCTTGTTTTCATTCATGTTCTTCACAGGTGGATGCATTTGTTTTCAAGTTTAGGATTCTTACCTACCACGCCCAAATATCAATGCTTGAAATGGGTGGAGCCTCCGGAACCCTACGACCTCAAACCTTGAGCCCTAAACCCAAGATCCCAAGTCCTGTATCAACCTATCATCATCCAAAACCTTAATTTCCATATCAAAAGCTTGTAACTCTATTCTCTCAAGCCTTCAAACACCTACCCAGCCAGGCCATCGTAGTCAAGGCCTTCGATGACGGCTCCAAAGCCCGGTCTTTCGGCCATGCCTTGGTTGCGGGAATCGACCGTGCACCGCTGAAGGTGACGAGGCCCGAAAGTGGTAGATTCAGGCTTAGGCCTGTTACTGGGATGCTGTTGAGGAACTCAAAACTAACTTATCGTAACATGGGTAAAAAGTAACTAGTAGGTTTTCCTTATGATAGTAGTAAACTGATTTAAGTTTCTTAACAGCAACGCGGTTGAGGCTTTAAGAACTTTACACTTCGGTGTTGGGTGACTGTATAATAGGGTTTATAGGGTGTAGGTGTAGGGATTCAGGTTCAGGGTCACAGAAGGATAGGCGCGGAGCACACATGGATGTTTATAGGAATTCGGAGGGATTATAGGGCAATTTCCATGCACCGTAGAAGGCTTATTCGAAATATGCCGTCTGCAACCTGAACTCAGCGCTTTTGCAAGTGAGGTAACGCTTGCGCTCGATTGAATATGTTGTGGGACGGTGATTCCAAAAGGGGCACAATTTAGGGTATGGGATTCGGGGTGCAGACATGATGTTTTTATCCACACATTTCATTTTGCATCGTTGAACATCTGCGCCCAGACCCTCCGGAGGATTTGAAAACAGATACTCGGGTTGCCCTCATGTGCACAAGGCTGTCTTATTCTTTTAGGGTTGTGCCACGATAGCGAATTAAGGTCTCAAACAACACCCTAAGGGTCCAAGGACCTAAATAGTAGGGTTTTAGAGCCCAAATACCATTAATATTATAGTATTTGGGCCCTAAAACCCTATTATTTAGGTCCTTGGACCCTTAGGGACAGTGCTGTGAGTTGGGGAAGCTTGCATTGTACGCGGTACACGGTCGAGGCAGCTGCTTTGTCATTATGGAAGCGTTTGAGGTTTAGGGTTTAGGGCAGGTTCCTGCTTGGCTTCTGAAAGGTCAGGAGCGCATGTGTCTTTTTGACTATTGACTTTTTGCCAAGGCCCAAACAATTTCACAATTCCCCTCAAACCTTCGGATGTGTTGTTTAACGGCCTTTGAAGAGGTGGAAAAAGGTGGAGATGGTTACTGGTCCACTTTGAGGAGGGGTTCTCCAAAGGATGCCTCTGTGCATCACCAATAAAAGCCCATGATGCAGAACTTACTTGGAGGGTCATGGGGACTTAGTACTGTAAGTAGGTGAATAACCCCTATAGGCCATATGATAGCAATAACCTCAGTTATCTCCACTTATTAACCTAGTTACTAAGCCCCCATGACCCTCCAAAAGCAGTAAGCCTGTCTGGGCAGCTTCCTTAGTCTGTGCTGGGGTCTGGAAAGCTGGTGTTAGGAGCACTCAGCACCTGTTGCAACTTAGTCCCTGAAGCTGCATATGATCCTCAGTCCTAGACCCTCCAATATAGACCCACACAAGCAGCTATCATGTTTTGTGGGAAGGTCCTGGGGCGACTTCAGTAAGCCCCATGTCTTGAACCGGGAAGGCAGATGTCGAAGAAGAAGATCACCAAGCGCACCAAGGTCAAGCTGACGGCTCAGACAGCCTTTGCACGTAATAGCGTTTGCACTTGTATTGTGCCCTCCGCCGCTTCATTAAGAATCAGACCCCCTCCCCCAGCCAGCAAGAAGAACTATTCCTCCAATTCTGTGGTACTAAACTGCGGGTGTTTATTCTCAGGGGACGTGGGCTTCATTATTATGAGGGGGGCTTGCTGGGCTCCACAGTCAAACAGAACTGTCCCGAGTTCTTGTATATGTTTTTTGTGTCACGTTGTACAGCATATCTGGGGTTTGCCCCAGCACCATATTCAACATATTCCCCGTGAGGTTTTGAAAGCTGTTAAGTGCAATTGTGCTGAAGCTTAAAGCACAAGGGTTGCCATGGACCGCCAAAACCCAAATCTAAAGCCCTAAGTCCACATACCTATTGCTCGTTGGTGGCTTATTTGACTGCCTTCTAATCTTCACCCCAATCTCTACGAACGACGCCCTAGAAGTGCAGACATTTTGTGAGCGGAAGTTTAGCAACTTTACTCCTTGGAAGGGACCCCCCCATAATCCTTGCGACGTGCCCAGATTTCCTTATGGTTCCTAAGGGCTCCCCCTTGAGACACCCCAAAAATGAACTGCTCCTGGATGTGGGGAGCCCTTTCCGTCTTCTAAGGCCCTTCGTGAAATATGTCAACTACAACCACATCATGCCGACGCGATACAACGCATGGCCCTGAGCAAGGTCATGAAGCTGATTACTGACTAGTGATATTTCTTCCGAACGTAGATCTAGCACCTATAGTACCAGCAATGTCATTATCCTCGGCTCAAGACCTCCGAAGTAGCTACCATTCCAGTATCTTGCTTTTTTGCAGCAGCAGCAGCAATGGCAGCATGTGAAGACTGAAATGGTGCAGTCTGCTCCTATGCGCAGTATGATCCTGTTGTCCATGCTGCACTCCCAGAGTCATTATTACTGCTGCTCTTATTATTTTTACGATCATCATTTCTGAATCATTACTATCATGATTACCATATTACCACTGTTATTTTTGTTATAGTTATTACTACTGTAGGTATTATTAGTATTCTTCTCATGATTATGATATTATGATTAAGCAAAATCCTGTTCGACTCAGATTCCGAAGGTTTCCTAGGGTGAGGTCGTTTGTTCACTCGGCCCTGCTGGCTTTATAGCAAGCTCGCCCATGTAACAGCCACGATGTTGACAGCATCTCATGCCGGGGCTTGAGCACTATACTCCAAAATGATAGAAGAAAAAAGCAGGCATAATAATAGTGAATGTATATATATATACATATGTACTAATAATCGTAGTAATGATACTAGTAATGATAATAAGTCCGAAGTCCAGACACAGCTCTCCTGACCAGGACACGGGCCCAGCAGCTGTGTGGACAGTACTTATTCGACGCCTGTCGGTAATTCCCACCCCGGAATCCCAGCATATCAACCTGTGATCCACAACCTGCATCTCTATACCATCTTGAGAAAAGCTACCAGAAAGAACAAGTGCTGCTTGTCTACTTAGTATACTTACGAGTGAGACCCTCAAGGCTTCAGTCGATTCTTCCAGGTGCCAGCCGAGCTGTCCCCGGCGACCATTTGCACAGATGCGCAGATGGACACTCCTGATGGCCGCAAGGAAGCCAGGAAGTTCGCCAAGAGCTCCTCGACGCCGTTGGGGGCAAGTTCATGCATCAGGGTTTCTTGATCTGGGATATTTAGAAGCTCTGGGGAGATTGTACGAACTGGATTTGAATATGGGTTTCTAAAAGGCTTGCCAACAGCTGTCCGGATCAGTCAAAGAGATGGGCTTGATGTAGGTCCTTCTACGGTTTCGCGGCTCGCTAGCGCATTGTATTATTGTAGAGAAATCTATCACTGTCTGGAGTGCCGTCATACTTTCCGAGTCCTTAGGTCAGCGATGTCGGCCGAATAATGAGTTCAGCGATGTTGGCAGAATAGTTAGTATTTAGCGATGTCTGGGCTGGCGTTGCTCTGCTACTTGTATCTTCCAGTCTGTCAAGGTCTCCGAGAAGAAAGCTATATCATAGGCCGAACTCCAAATATAGCAAATAATGCCACGGTGAATTAGAATGCCTTGGGGACCGTGATCATGCTCATAATGACGATGAGGAGGAGGGTGACGGTGAAGGTGACGCGGGGCTTTGTCATGAGGGAGTTTTAGTCAAAGCCGAGATACGTTAGGCCCCCCAGGGAGAAAATTCGATTTCATCACTTTGAGTCGATTATAGGGTTTCCCCATCAAGGATTGTACAGAGATTGCTCTGAGAAGCGCCTACGTCATTGTTGACCCCTGGCTTCTTCGGAAGAACTGGCCTTGTCAAAGGTTATTCTTGGGCCCGACGACCGGATTTAAGCCCTGGGTGCATTTAGGGGTTATATAGGCTTCTACGGGGTTAATTTTTTCGGGTTATATAGGTCAGAGAACACACGCCCAAAGCCTGCATTATCAGCCCTCAGCTTAAAGTCCGTTAGCCCTAAGCCCTCAGCTCGAACGTCTTCAGCCCTATGCTTGTAGGTGCCCAAGTGTGCAGCAATGGAACTTTGCCTTAGGACTGTTAATGTCTCATTCGAGCGCATATCTCGCTTGGGCATTCTATTCAAATAATCCGTCTTAACCGCTTAGCAACACATCAAAACTGACCACCGCGGCATAAACCTTTCCGAAAACCTACCTGAACCTGTTAAACAATGGGATGCTCAGGCCTCTTCCAGGAGAAGTTCCATGCGCCGCCTGCAGACAAGTCCGGCCGGCCATCCAAGGCGCAACTATGCTGGTTGAGGGATGACAGCGTAAGAATTAGGGTTAAGGGTTCAGGTTTTGAGGGCTGGGGATTTGGGTTGAGGTTCCCGGGGCGTACCGTGGGATGCAGAGCTTGTTGATTTGATTTTGGAAGGTTCTCCCGCAGCTCAGGCCTCTCTGTGCGCAGCTTGAAGCGAAACAAGCAGATGCCATCAACTGGAGATTGAGCTGGCTGACTGGGTTGTCAGCGGAAGTCCAAGATCCAGCTCGTCACAGTTTTTCAGTGAAAAGCTCGTACCTGCCATTTGCATCCTCTTCGCCTGACATGTGGAGAGGTATGGGACCCTGAGGACAAGAGCGTCTTCGCGAATCCCAGACTTGAACCCGAATCCACAGCTCAAAGTCAGCGTTGACGCGCAACTTCTTTCTGAATGGTTGTGGCCACCAAAAACTATCGGAACAGCTGGCCTTCAAGGAGGGTGTGTAGAGGAAGTCCAATCTTGCCTCAGCCCTTGAAAGCACGGAAATCTCAACACGGAGTTTCCCACGGCAACCCCTATGTCATCTGTGGTATAAAGACCTTTCCCCAAAGGCTCTATGTAGCTATATGGCCAAGTGGTATATACTTGCACCCTAAAGTAATCAAATGGGAACCCCTTTGGGCCCTAATGTGGCACCCCTTTTAATG